TGGCGGAGGCCTCTTACTAAAAAGGCACCGTGTAACTGAGATTTGCAGGCCAAAATATCCGCAGATAGTTAAAAAAAAAGAAAACCCGAATTTTGCGTTTTCATGATAAGTTTTAGACTCCAGCTTCGCATTGAAGCCATCGCTTATAGCAGGTTGAATGTTAAAGCCTATAAATAAGCACCTCTTTGATATAGCTTTGAAAGTTTCCCTTTTCTTTCTTTTGTAAAGCAAGTGGTTACAAGAAAAAACTTAAAGAACTAAACATTATGTTCTAAATTGATTGGTTCACAATTATATAAGTAAAAAAACAACCCTCTATGGATATTAAACAAACACCCACTTCGGTTTGCTTCTCTGCCAGTGTTCGAGAATTAACATTCCAAAATTGTTTGAATTGTATAGATGACCGTTAAATTACAAAGCTGCTATCATTCCAGGCAATGTAAGTGATTGAAATATATTCAATTAATTAATTACCATGGTGCATGTAAACGCCTTTTGGTCGTCTTATCGTCAATAAAGAAGAAAAAAAACGAATCTTGCGGTGTTGTTTGAAGTTAACAGTAAAGTACAGCTTTGAAAGCCAAAATAAAAGATCTGCGACTTCCGATTTCTGGCCTGGTGGAAGTAGAAACAAAATGTGTAATTTGAGTGGAGCGCAATACACTTTTTAGAACGCAATATAAAAAAAAACTGTGATGTAAAAAAAAAAAAAAAAAAAAAAAAAAACGCGGTTTTATACCGGTTCCCAGCGAAATGTGTTTCCAACGAAACCCATTTCCAACAACATATCTCACAAAATCCTTTACTCTCAAAGTCAAGCGTCACATTTTTGCGCGAAAGCTTTAAGTGTTGGAGGGTCACCCGAGCGAACAATCATGTGTCACCCGCAGAGGCGCGTAATGCTTAAATCAAGAGGCCCAGCGACAACACTTAAGCCGGGGCAGTTCACCGCAGCATCCGAAAAAGAAAAACAATCCAAAATCTCTCGTAGCACACGTCAGCTGCTGCTCTTGTAACCCGTACGCTATGGTACGTTGACCCGGCTTTCCTTTTTTAATGCGTGGCAGCGTTCCGGTGGCCCCGGGCACAGTCCGAGCACTGTACCGGGCTAAGGGGGCTTCCTGGCGCTTCACTCGTTCTCGATGGCATTGCTCCTGGCCTTTCGCCGAAATGCATTTGCGCCGAAGCGAACGTCCTTGCTTTCTTCCGACCCGAAAGGTTTTCGAGAGGTAGCACGAATCGCTGATTGCTTCCTTTCTCTGGATGGGAAACCGAAAGTCGGAAAGGATCACTTAGATCTCTCGGCTTGTTGCTCGCCTCGAGGTGGAATCACTTGGCACTTTCTAACTTTCGCGCCTCGACTGAATCGATGCTGGAGTGCCTTCATACACACGAACTTTCGCCGAGTGATGACGTTTCAGCCGTTTTTCTTCCCGATGTTTATCTGCGCTTCGAAATGCAGGCAATGTGTGTGGCTCAGCTTCAACGTGTGGAGTTGGCTAATAATCAGTTGTGCGCTAACAGTGTTTCGAATCAAATAGTGCTGTCTGACTAACAGCTTTTAGAGTGCGAGAGAGATCCAGGACAAATCGGTTCTCTTTACTGTGTTAAAACTAGGAGTGACACTGTGCCATTGTATTCAAAGCGACATCTACTATACTTGGTTTAGCTGAAGTCCTGGCGCAGCCGCGAAGCTACAAGCTAGTGAGGCCAATCACGCAGCGTCGAAAGCCCAAGTCATTGGGACTTTTTTTGTCCATGAACGGTTCAGCGATCATAGAACAAGCACATAAACATGGCGAACAAAATGGTGGTACGCTTTTCACGCTCACCGATTTGTACCATCTGCTCGTAGCGTCGACTTTGTTTGGACTTACGCTTCAACCAAGTATAGTAATGCTTTGATGCCCTTACATATCTCAATGTTTCTTTATAGCTCCGCTTCGTTAAGCGCTGGCAGCACTCGATGACACAAAAGACGTCTCGATTCTGAGACAGACGACATCCAAGTATTCCCTAATCACAGCGTCCATTTCGACTGCTACCTTCCTAAAAAGAAAACCAGACGATGAATCTCAGATCGCAGCGAGGTGAACCATTCGGGTATTTCGAACGTAACAAATAAAGCAAATCCGCAATTTTTGTTGGAAGGTGAAGCGAGTACACGGGCCAATGGGCCATTTATAAATGCGGTGTTGCGGAAATGCTTACGAAATGGCATAGCGTAAGATTATTAGGGAACCCAGCGTTTCCCGCGATGCTATTCAGCTCGCGATTTTTAGTTGTGACATCGTTCGCCCTACAAAAACGAAACGAAACAAGAAATAACGAAGCCATCTGAAGTTTGTCGGCATTCACGTTGTTTTTGCGTTACAAGTACCGTCGCAAGTAAAAAATCGGAAGTGGAATCGCACCATGGAACATAGGCTTAACCCCCCCCCCCCCCCCTTCCCGCTATTCCGCGCTCCCCTTTTGACTTAATATTTTTTTCAGCTGTGTCGTCCGAAGCCCTTTCTATTTCACAGCGATAGCTGTTACGGCTCTTCCCATCACTGGAAATGACGCCCGTTGTTGGTGTTGTACTTGTTGATGTAGTAGTAGTAGTTGTAGTTGTAGTGTGCGATGTAGGGCTTCCGTCATTGATTTTGCAACGTTACGCCGCGGATGACATATATTACCGATGCATATGGCTGTAAAAGTGCAAAACCATTTAATGTTGACATTGACAAAACCTTGCGCAGTGTCCTTTGTAGATGTTTGTAACCTTCCGTATCAAGTTTTGTCGTCTGCTTTCGCTTTCGGCGGGGGACATTGAACAGAACCCTGACCCAAATGAGCGTTGTGAATTGGGCACTCAGACTGATTCTCGCGAGTGCTCGTCAGTGCTTCAGTCGGTACAGCGTATAGAGAAGGGGCCATTGCAGCTGCTGACAGCATTGCAAGTTATGCAGCAATGGCAACAGACTGTTAAATGTAAGATGACGGGTCTGGAGGAAAGGGTAACGTGCCTCGAACAGCGCCGTCCGCTGTCTACGGACAATGTAGTTGGTATGTCTCAATATATCACTGCAGTGAAAGCTGCTGCCGACAATAATGAAAGCAGACAGCGTAGAAATAACCTTTTTGTTTCTTCGGCTTGCCAGACAACCACTCGGAAACATGGGATCAATCGGAAGACTCCGTGCTATGTGTGGTTACAGAAGCTAAGGGCATCGGGATTCAGAAACCAAACATTGATAGAGCTCACAGAATGGTGGCTTACAATCTAACAAAAACCGCCCTATTGTTGTGAAATTTTGTCGCTTTAAGGACAAAGAGGCTATTCTTGCCCATGGGCATAATCTCAACTCTACTCTGTATGCTGTGCGGGAAGATTTTTCCGCTCCGATTCGTCATGCCCGCGGGAAACTGCTTGCCTTTGCGAAACAACAAGAGTCGCCATACTAACTGCTGTATGACAAGCTGTTGCTCGGCGGCTGCTGTTACATCTATGATACTTCTTCTGACACCGTCATCCACTCAAGAAGATAACTGTATCGCAAATCGAGACAAGCAGCTGTGGCGGAGCACATACTTGCGCATCCAGCGGATTTACCCTGCACCACTCGGCCTAGCAAAATAACTGTTTTACTTGTCAACTGTTGAAGCATCAAAAATAAGGCCGATACACTAGGTGGCGTTATTGCCTCGGTACAATCTCACATTATCATTGACACTGAATCCTGACTGGACGATAGTGTCAGTGATGCTGAAGTTTTCCCTTCCACATTTCAGCTTTACAGACGCGACTGGGACGCCCATGGTGGTGGCGTTTTCCTACTCGCTGATAAATCTTTCCCAAGGGCACCTGTAGAAACTGATGATGATTGTGAGACTGTGTGGTGCAAAGTTATGTTTCACAATGATGAACATATCTCGTTTGGTGCTTCCTATCGTAACCCCAGTGTGGGCAGCCTTTCTCCCTTAAAATCGCTTTCACATACAATGTTGAGTTTAAATTCGAATTTTTCCTTGGGTGGTGATTTCAATATGCCTGATATACAGTAGATTAACAATTCACCCGTGCTTTCTTGCCGCTCTGCACTTTCCCTTGAATTTAGTACTATGATCGCCACTAACGGTCTTATCAGATTTGATTTCCCCACACATCGTGCGGGTGACTGTGCATCAACGCTGACTTTTTTTCTAATTCGGCTAGTTTAGTTCAATCTGTCTTATGTATTCCTGGTATAAGTCACCATGACGGTATCCTAGCTAAAGTTTCTTTTGGACTACTAATGGTCGCGCTTTCCCCTCCTCAAAGGGTGAACATTATAAATTATATATTTGAGGAGTTTGGGGCGATCAGTGTCATGTCCAGTGCTGAAGATCTTTGGAATCTATTTAAAAACAACTTACTCTCGCTTATTGACTGCTACATACTGTCAAAAATCGTTTCGGGCAAAAAATGACACAACAAGCCTTGGTTTACCAACGAGATAAAGCGCTTACTGAATCGAAGATGTCGCCTTTTTCGGAGGTACCCAAGCCAGAGGTCTGATGAATTGTTTAACAAGCTAGATATTCTGGAGAAGGAAATTAAGCTGGAAATAAAAATTTCCAAAGATCACTTTTATTCCTTCTTAGGTGAAAAGCTTAGGCGCAGTTCAAAGGAGATGTGGAAGTTTGTTAAATCTAATGGCAAAAAAGATAGTAGTACCCCTCCTATTTTAGCTGAACAAGGTTATGTCATTAATGACGTCGACAAAGCGAACTGTTTTAATGATTAATTTTAGTCAGCTTTTGCAGTTACTACAAAAACATGCTTTCGGAACCAGCTTCTTGTAGTTTTGAGGTTATGTCAGATATCACTGTATCGTATGATGGACTTGCGAAACTTCTTTCTGAACTAAAATATCAAATCAAATCAAATCAAATCAGCTTTTATTTTCCATCACATGATGGGGGATACCAAGGGAAAAAGCTGCTTATATGCAGCTTGACAAGCCCCTGGCACCCCTACATGGCAGACAACGCAACAAGAGATCATTTAATAAACAAATAAATCTAGAAAAACAATACAATGTGCATTTTTATACAATGTTAATAAATCATAGAATGTGCATTTTTTATACAATGTTAACGATGCTATTTTTATTAAGTGAAGTGATATCAATTTCTAGCGATGCGACATGATTTAGTAAGTGAGGAAGTGCATGTTTAATTCTTTGATGTCCAAAGTTCGTACGTGATCTTGGTATTTGCCATGGATGTATTTGACGGGTTTGATAAATTGGAATTTGCAAATGAAGGTCAGCGAGGTTCAGAAATGTTTCGAATTTACCTTTTAGGGCCGATTGGCACGTTAATATTAAGCGTTGACTGTAAAGTTTTGACACGTCGGTTATGGAAAATTTATCAAAGAGAGGCAATGATGGTGAGGTCGTAGGAACATTGGCTATTGCACGAAGAGCTTTTTTCTGCAGCACGCGGAGCAAATTTAAGTTGGTTAAACCAGTAGATCCCCATATCAGATGCGCGTATCCTAAGACGGGGAAAAATAATGATTTAAAAATTTGAAGTTTAATATTGGTAGGTAAAATGTTTCTATATTTGTTTATTACTCCAACTATTTTTGAAAGTTTAGTACGAACATATTTAACATGTTCAGACCAGGACATGTTAAAGGAAAAAAATACACCCAGAGTTTTGACATTTTTAGCACAATGAATAATATCAGAACCATATTTGAAAGGAAGGAATAAATTTGTTTGAGTTCTAGAATGTAGTTGAAATATTACAGCCTTGCTCTTATTAGTATTTATATGGAGGGAGTTAATTTCGCACCAACATTTTAATTTAGATAGAACAATATTTGCTCTGGTAACAAGATGTTCATAATTTTTATCAGGAATGATTATACTCGTATCATCTGCGTAAACTATAAAATTTACATCAGGGTCAATAGTTACAATATCGTTAATATAAAAAAGAAATAGAAGTGGTCCCAGAATGCTTCCCTGGGGAACACCAGAATTAATACCTAGCAAAGAGGACATATGGTCGTTGATTGAAACATATTGCCGAGGACTTTGGAAATATGATTTTAACAAAGAAAAAGAAACACCCCGAAAACCATATAAAAATAATTTATCTAAAAGAATACCATGATCAAGACAATCGAACGCTTTACTGAAATCTAAGAATATACCGACTGTTGACAACTTTTCTTCTAAATTGTCCAGTATTATCTCTTTTTGGTGTAAGAGTGCACACTCGGTTGACCTGAATTTCCTGAAACCAAATTGAGAGTCAGTTAGGAGTTTATGCTTATTTGAAAAATTTGTAATTCGCGTGTGCAGAATTTTTTCGAGGCCTTTTGAGAAAATGGGAAGAATAGAAATAGGTCGGTACTTCCCTATGCAATTTCAATCTCCTTTCTTGAACAATACTATTACTTTCGCGGTCTGCGTACCCATGGGGAATATTCCTGATGTCAGAGCAAGGTTGTAAATATGTGTTAAACAAGGCGCAATGATATCTATGACAAGTTTAACAGGTTTAATATTTATGTTATCAACATCGCAACTGTTGTTGTTGCGTAAATTGGCCATCGCCGCATAAACTTCGTGTTCATCGGCAGGATAAAAAAATATTGTCTCAGAAACTCTTGGTATATTATTTCCTGCGTCACTACAGTAAGTTCCTGACCTAACGTTTACAAAATAATGATTAAAAGCATCTGAAAGTGCAGAACCAGATTTTTCTATTCCATCAATACTTAAAGATTCTATTTTAGTAGAATTTGTTTTTTTACCTAAGAGAGCACCAAGCCTCTTCCAAATTAAGTCCGAGTGTTTCATACATTCTGAGTCAAAAAGACTGTTGTAGTAGCTACGTTTTGAACGCTTCAAATCTGCGTTCAGACGGTTTCTCAGCGTCTTAAATTTTGCAAGCACAACTAGATTTCGGGTCTTTAAAAAATCTTTATATAAGCAAGCTTTGATACGCATTGATTTTAAGTGATCCCCAGTAATCCATGGTTTGCGCGCACGTTTATTGTTCTTAAGTAGTTTTAATGGGAATGAAAGACTATAAATATTTTTAAAAACCTCGATAAATTTGTCGTAAGCTTGATTTACATCAGCATAGTCGAATATACCGCTCCAGTTTGTTGTCTCTATATTCCGTCTAAATGTCTGCAGTGTTTTTTCGTTGATATCTTGTACACATCTCGGGGGAGGAGCTTTATTGGATTGAGTTTTTGATAACAGATTTTGTTTATGAATCAGCATGAATATAGGTAAATGATCACTTAGGTCCGAACACAGCACCCCAGCAGTAATATCAGAGCTCCCATGATTTGTGATAAACAAGTCGAGCATGGAAGAACATGATGTTGTTATACGTGTGGGATGAGATATTACATTATGAAGACTATTTGCGGACAACAATAATAAAAGTTCAGTCTGGTTGCACCATACATCAAGCATATCAATATTTAGATCACCGCCAAGGGTGAAATTGCACGTCACTTCAGTGATAGCGGTGAATAGTTTATCTAAAAATTCAAAGGACTGGGATACATTTCCCTTTGGTGGTCGGTAGATAACACAATACACTTCAAGGTTTTTGCGTATGCATAATGCTTCGTAGTCGTTTGTAATCATAGAAAATTCGGGTACAATCTCGAAACCAGTGTCCGCTATCAAAATGGACACACCACCGCCACGGTTTGTTTGCGGTTCAAATAAAAATGGGCGTAACCTGGCAAAACAAAAAAATCACTGTCATCGCTATACCAAGTTTCAGTGAGCATTATAATATTAAACATTTGTTGAAACCTGTTAAAAAACAAAGTTCATCAGTTTTGGATCGTGCTGATCTCACGTTTAGATGAAAGAGTGTAAGGCACTTCTGTTTATTCCCACGAATCAACGCGTTAACTTCATGTGGTTCATAGAAATGGTCGTGCACAGCCATCTCAAAGAAAAAAAAAAGTAGCTGTCATCTACATATTCGGAATTAGTTCCTGATTCTAATGTTTAATCAGCTGTTTTTCCTTAAAGATGTTTTGAGTGTTTATTTCTTTCCTGTTTTTTTTCTTTATATACCAATGTTCTCCAGCATATAACCCAATTTTGTTTGTTTCTTAATATAACGTTTTTTCAGCAGGTACCCTCCCCCCACCCCCTTTCCCTTTGTGTAATGCCCGTAAGGACCTTCAAGGTTTAATAAATGATGATGAACTCTTACACTTGGCCACATCATAGACCTTGTTCTGTTTTAAAATCTTGTGCACCCATTATTGCCAAGTTTCTGGGTGTCTTGTTTAATGTATCTCTATCGTCAAAGAAACTTCCTCAGGAATGGAAATTCGCGAATGTCGCTCGTGTGCATAAGAGTGGTCAACGCTTTTTGGTTTCCAACTATAGACCTATTTCACTAACCAGCGTGTGTTACAAGACTCTTGAACATATAATTTACTCTATCACATTTCATCACTTGCAAACAATTTTTTTTTTCGTCCAGTTTCAAGATGGTTTTAGGGCAGGCTTCTCTTGCGTTACTCAGTCAAATTTTCGTATTATGTGTTTTCTTCTTTTGCTTCTGGGAAACAGGTTGACTGTATAATGTTAGACTTTGGTAATGCTTTTGATACCGTGACACACGCTTTATAGCTTTTAAAACCCTCATCTTTAGGTTTACCTATTTCTGTCCTCGGTTGGTTAGCAGACTATCTAACCGGTCGCTCCCAAAAAGTGGTCATTAATGACTCAGAATTCAACTTTGTTTTAATAAAGTCGGGTGTTCCCCACGGATCCGTGCCTGGTCCACTTTTGTTTTTTACCTATATAAACGATATGAGTTACGGAACTACCTCCAAGATTATATGCAGATGATTGTGTGTTATACAGGGGATATATAAATAACCAGTGCGATGCTTCCGCTATACAAACTGATCTTGATCAAACACTAATGAGGTTCAACAAATGGAAAATAGAACTGAATCTCTTAAAGTGTAATTGTTTCCGCTTTAGCATATAGCGTCTAAACGTACATAATAATTACTATCTAGATGCAAATCACATTACTTTGGCAAAGGATGTGAAATATTTGGGTGTTATTTTTTCCTCTAACTTAACGTGGAGTAGTGATGTTGAATTTATAACAATGAAAGCAAAACGTGTAATTAACTTTATAAAGAGAAACTTTAAACACGCACTTCGTGACGTACGTTCCATCTTAGAACATGCGGCTGTAATATGGGATTCCGACACTAAAAACCTTTATGAATGAACTTGAGGCCATCCAAAATCGCTCTGTCCGTTTTGTTACTACCTTTTATCATTTTAATCTCAGTGTCACGGCATTAAAGAAATCATTTTCATGGGATTCGCTCGAAATTCGCCGGAGGTTATCAAGGTACTATTTTCTGAATGAAGTGGTCTATAACATACCTGCATAAATAGGAACGTATACCTAAAACCCCCTACTTCTACTTCGCAGAGATCAGACCACACGAAAAAATTACGAGAATAAGCATCTGTTTTTCAATCCTCATTTTTCCCCCGAACGATAAATCAGTGGAATAGACTCCCCGAAGCTGGGGTTTCGGCTTCGGATGAAACTTTTGATTGTATTCGCTAATGTATTGCTTTGCATTGTGCTGATGTTGGCAGCTTACAGTAGATACGTGTATGTTGTGTTCAGGTTTTTTTATATATGTATGTCAGCATGGAATGCTATCTTTTTTTGCATTTCCATTTGTGTATTTGTGGTGTTGATATGTAAGTTACCCCCCTACAATAATGCCCCCATATCGAAATGTAGGTAAGGAATAAATAAAAAATATAGATAAATAACACAAAGATTCTCTATATAGTGCTTGAGCAAAATCAAAGTGACATTGACAAAACTGGGTGCCTCAACGAAAGGTACTGCTCGTACGCAAATAGCCTTCGCGTTACAATATGAACAACGAGTTTTGCGAACGTAAAAAAATATTTAACGTATGCTAACGTGCTCATATGTGGGCAGGCAATATATTTTTCTGTAAGTGCAATCATTTGTTTCGAGGCGCAAGTAGTGCGTTCGTTCTTTCGCTTTGATGAAACAACGTCGGCAAACGTATGTAACGGCCTGCAGTGGCAGCAGTCGTTGCAGCTCACGGCAGTTGAAATTGTAGGCATTTTATATGCAAGTGCAAACCCTGAATGGGCAAGAATTGAGGCTTTTATTAAAAAGCGTAACGGCGCACCGAGGGACATCATTAATCACCGTTCTTTTCAAATCGATTTCCCCTCCTTTGCAAGTCTAAACCTCGCGATGTCGTTCGCTAAGCGTCCACTTTTCTTCATCCCTGACGCCTCCTCTGGTTTGTGAGTTGGCAATAGAAAAAAGGCGAGTGCAGCTCAAACGCAAACACACTTGCAAATATGTTTTCAGTCGCCCGCGTACACGTGGACGCAGTATATGTAAAATACTTTTTTTTAAATATGAGAACATAACCCTCACTTGCTGTACACATGATGCCCGGTGAGCACGCTTTTTTCCGTTCTGAGAGAACAAAAATGTCGAATTTGGGACATAGTTGAACATAAAAATAAAACACCTTATTAAAATTAAACCAATAAAAATCTGCGGATCACAGCTTATGCTTTCCACTTTAGTCTAAGCAATGTTAATAAAAAGTATTTAAAAAAAGGGGGCCGCATCTCCACGTGGTGAATGATGTTGATTGTGGCGAAGCTCTGGTGGTGCTGATAATACTGATTTTATTGTTCATAACTAGTGGTCATGGTGCTGATTTTTTCTTATTGCTCATAGGTAGTGCTAAGTTCCGGGTTTCGATTCGACTTCATTATTGCTGCTTTGTGGTCGGTGAAATGCAGAGCCAGTGGTTCTTTTAGCGGATCAGCTTGGATCCGCTAAAGGCCGTGGAAACGCATCTCCACCGCTTAAGTCAACGGTCCATGTCAGAAAGAGAATGTGTGGTATGGAACGTGGTTATATACGCAGTTGAGCATTTGACCGCAGCGCCCTCTCGTCTATAAATGTTGAGCCGATGCATGCAAAGTTTAACGAGATTAGATACGCATTTGACCGCAGCGCGGCGTTGAGCGGCTTCATGCAACGTCGGAGTGTAGCGTAGTGGTTAAGTCGTCCAACTCGTAAGCAAGCGGTCCTGAGTACAAATCCCCGTGCAGGCATACGTTTTTTTTTTCTTGTTTTTTTTTTTTAAGTTGGCCGATCTTGGAGGCAGTGCAATCGACGTGAGCACGGACACCGGACAGATGGATAAGGCTAGGTCCTACGGAGCTTCGCCCCTAAAACTTCGAAGTATCTACCTTTTTTTCTAGATTAGGATTATTTTTCCAACCTTAGAAGGGATTTGTAAATGTACAAATTTAAAAGTTTTATATATATTAATTTATCATTTGAACAAGATGACGCTCCAGCGCTCAAAAGAAGACAGGATTGCGTATTTGTCGTTGCAAGAGTATATGCACTCTGACTGGGAAATTTTTAAAAGTAGGCCAATCTCTAAACCAATAACAGAAGATTCGAAACATACTCTGATCTTTATAGCGTTTTGTTAAAAAAGGAAGCTAACTGCAATCCTTTTCAGGTTTTTGTTCAGATAAGTAAGACCTCAAGAACTTGTATGTCGCAACAATGAAGATTTAATTCGGAAATTCACAGTTCAACAACGGGGCATTGCTTTGAAGTGTGGTATTAATAATGGCAAGAATGATTTCATCGTATGCGATAAGAATACATACTAAATCAGGCCCGCCAGAGCCATAATGTGATTCTTAAATATGAGTTGCTTTGCAAGGTAATACAATACGCTACAATGCAATGCGATAAAACAGAAAACGATACAATTTGACAGAAAACAATGTACCGCGACACAATTTAAGAAATGCAATACCATTCAATAAATTTAATTTTTTTTTACTCCGCATATAATACAATTAAAAACCTGAATAGGACATAGGGCTCGTGAGTGGGACTAGCACACACACGCACAAGCACACAACACGCCCACAGGCATATGCACCGTAGTACGCACACACACAAACAGACATCCCCATACACTTACATGCACACACGCAGGTATCATAGTTGATAATAAAAATTTGTGACTAAAAGAATCAATTTGCGCGTAATTTGAATGTCGGCTATGTTGGCCGTGGGCCGAGGAGCCTTATGGGAGTGAAGCGCGCCTTGCCCGACTTTTCGGATTGCTGAGCCGTTGTAATATAAGTAAAAGAAAAAACAAATCGAAATTACCCTTTTCAAGGAAAAGTTCTGTATCTAATAAAAAATTCAACCTTACCAACACCTTTTTGTGTTGGGTTCCAACCAGTTTTTATTATCAGCAGCCGGAAGCTTTAAAACAGACACACAAACGTTTAAAACAAACGAACGACTGAGGAAATTCCTATCAGCCGGGGATACCCGTGCGTCAGTCGTCAAATACCACACGACCGAAAAAAGAGATTGCATTTGCTGCTGCTGTCATTTACCAAATCCCAAAGCGTTTCATCTTTTTCGTTCGAATCACGCTTCCACGCCCGACGCCTACGGAATTAGAGGAAGCGAAACAGCCCGGAAAGGATCTTCCCTGTCTCGACGTTGCCGGGATTTTCTGTTTTCTAGACGCTCTCTCGCGGCCCTTTTCCCCCCGGTCTACAGCTCCGCAGACATTCGCGCGTCGGCGGTGGCGCTGCAAGTTGAACAACGTCGCGCGCTCTTTCTTCTTTCCCCATTCCCGCACACCCTCCTTTCCCCTTTCGCCTCCCCACTTTCTCCCTTTTGTGTATCCTCTCCCCCCTTTTTCCCCCACCGGAACGCCAGATCCTGGATCACAACCCCGCGCGCGCCTGGTCCGGGCGTATTCGGCGCTCTGATCGGATAGCGTCAAGTTTGGCGCTTTCGCATTTCGGCTCTGCGCTCGGATTCGCCGTCTCTCGCGGACAAAAGTGACACGTGCTTCCCGTGTTTGACGGCTCTCCTATCGTCGTATCGTTGTTGGTCTCTCCACGATCGGTGTTGTTTTTTGTTTTGTTTCTTGTGCGGTTTGGGAGCTTCGTCGCAGCGCGGCGGAACTTGACGGCTTTCGCTTGACTTTGTGCCCGTCATATTGCGGTTCCTGATTCAGCCTTGTCAACCCGTTGTGATTGTGACGTGTGTGTCGATTTGGAGCGCCGCGGAGAGCGGCGTCCGTTCTGTCCCTGTGGGTTTCGCTTCGCGTCTTCTGCTTGGTAAGTCTCAACGAATGGACTATGTATCGACAAAAAAGTTGGTTGGGGCAATTTTTGTGGTGTATTTATCTTGCCGGATGGTTTCCTGCACGCAATGCCTATTATGTCTACTAGATAGCGTACGTTGCCTATGAAGCTGCGAGCGCATTTTATCTTAGGAAAAAAAGGTAATGATTTGTCCCTCATCCGATGGTTTCAGGTTGAAAAAAGAAACGGAACCAGAACAACATAAAATAAATTATTAAAACCAAAAAAAAAATTGAAGATTGTTTTTTGAGTGAGACGTAACTATGCTTCAATACCAATTTATGAAGTGAAATTACAGTGAACGCATGTCAAATAAAGGGTTCGCATTACCCCTGTAAGACAAGCTTAACAGTCTCAGTAAGTGGGAAGCTGGTAACAATGGATGTTTTCTTATCTTTCATTTGAAGGTAAATTATGTCTAAACCAGCGACGAATTCAATATTTTTTCGTACATAATAAAACTACCATAAATAGCTTAAAAATAATATTGGACTAATATGAGAAGCATGCATACTTGCAAAGTTTCAAGTAATTTCACATATAACATAATTTGTGAAGGATTGAAGAGCAATCTTAAAGTTTTGTAAAAAGTTAGATATGAAATGTATAAATTTCTAAAATTAATATTGTTTTATTGATTAGCTTTAACGTCGCCCTGATATGCTACCGTGCAATACCAATGGAACGTTCAGTAAGACACCACAAAGGAATACATATCACGGGTCATTTTCATCGTCATGCGTGGTCCCTAAAGAGTAATAGTCGAAATATAGAGATGAATGAACAGTACGATCGGATAGGAATAAAACTTGCAAAGTCGCCGAAAGGCAAAAATATTTGGGGTCGCTATATAGGTGGTAGTTTTGTCATCTAGACACGAAGAAGCAAACCTAGTTGGTTAAAAATTTGACTAATTCATTAAAAAACAATGGAAATGAACAAAAATAATTTGCTTCGAATTCTGTTAAAATACATTGTCGTAACAAAATGCTGATAAACGAAAACAAGCATAGTTATTGGCGTAAAGTTTATCTTAAAACTGACACCGTAATCTCGAGACAATTTCAATTAACGTAGTAACAAAGACGAAGATTTCTTACAATTACGCCAAAAATCCTATCTTTGGTTTCATTTCCGTATTTGAAATACCCTCAAGGCCATAGGGGCGTTACAAAGGGGAGTAGGTTTCAGGTATAAATACAAAGACAAACATTCTAAGTATGGAATAATTATATGTAATAAGTTACTACAATGTTGACATTGTTAAGGCAGATTTAACAGCGACGCCACCAAATAAAGTGACCACCGACGCCGGAAGCTGGTTCCGAGAGGGCGTAGTTCGGGGTACGAAAGAATTGTGAGAAGTCGTAGTTTTACACGATGGTACACCTATCTTGCGTTGTTGATTGACACACCGTGTTTCGTAGAAGGGAGGAATTAGTAGCGCTTCACGCAAAGGGAGCACTGCGACAGATTTTGTGAAACAAACATAAACAAGAAAGCTGTCTACGTGATGTGAGGTTAGGCACGTTCAAACTATATTTGATAAATGTTACGCCGACAGTGCGATCATTATTTGTAAGCATGAAAAGAACAGATCTTTTTTACATTGTCTCAACCGCACGCGTTCGTATGCCAGTACCGGGGCGTTTCGTTCGAAAACACGAATCCAAACGTAGCAAGTGCGTTTACACGCCAAATGCTATTTTCCCTGTTAGAAGTGTATACGACAGTGTTGCCTTTTTCACAAAAAAAATAAAACTAAAAGAAACAAAAATAAGGAAGAGAAAGAGGGAACAACATTAAACAAATATGCGTGGCCGGTCCACATCTTCGCAGAACGGCAGCGGAATTCTGCTTTTGTCGCGAAGAAGGAAATTCGATTAAAAACTGGTTCGTTCCTTTGCGAAAAAATAGAAGCGACTTAAATATAACTTCGTGCTCTTGCGTGCTATACGGGGTGGCCGCGCTTGATGCGACGAGAAACAACAATTAATCCGACCAGCTGAAAACTGACAAGAGCTAAGAAGCATACTGCCTTTAGGGAGAAGGTGATTTTAGGGCCGATCCCTTTTTGTTTTTTCTATGTTTTGGAGGGTCTCGAGAAACGCCCGTTCGTACTTCGCATCTCCGAGTCTCTACTCAAAACTAGAATTGTACCATACTAAATTTCCAAAAGTAAATGCAACGTCTTTCCTTGTACTTTAGATTTTAAGTGTAGAATAAATTTACTTTTAATAAACGATGAAGCCGTCCTCGTGGACACTATTTTCACAGCCATTTTCACTACAAAACTTTTTTTTCTTGCGCATGTTATTTGTAATAAAAAAGTATAAAGCGCCAGCTCAATATTTTTTTCAGGCGTCTTCAAAGCAGCTATCTTTCTATTTCTTATTAGAAGCCCTACCGAAAAATTCGGTATAACTTTTTGCTATCCGGATTATGGAACCGGAAATCTATCTGGATTCTATCTGGACTCTATCTGGAATTTAGGTTTTCAGAAATTAATCCTTTGTTCTCAATCTGGATTTCGGGTTTCCAGTAACAAATTTCCGGTTCCATATTCCGGATAGGGAAAGTTATACCGGATTTTTCGGTAGGGAGAGGTATCAAAACAAATAAAAATTGCAAAATACAAAGTACGCTGCGCATTTCTTCGGGTGTTTTTGGTACGGGGCTGAACATGTCACGTGCTATTTGTAAAAAAATATACTCTAAGCACTGCAATAAAATTAACGTTTGGGCTAGTGTGCTACACAGCATAATAATAGAAAAGTGCAAAGGACAAGAGGCAGGACAAAACAGGACAAGCGCTTACTATCAACTGACGTTTTTATGCATTAGTAGTTAAACAGAAGAAGGAAGTCAGATATGTGGTAAGTGAATTGGCAGAACAAGGTAATGATCATTTAAAACAAATTGCGAAAGACTGAGCTTTTTTTTAAAAATTACATAAATTAAGAAGTACATCCAAGCTTCATAAATGCTCAATAAAAAAGAAAAGAAAAACTAAATCTAAACTTTGCGTTTTTGTGCTTTTACAGTTATCAAATATATTTTATAGACCAAAATTCTTCTGGTACCCACACCCTCTTGAAAGTGCATAACACATAAAATTGAATACCGTTGACGTACGGAAAACTGAAGGAGCTTCACTTTTATTTTCAATCTTTAAGGGATTTTGATTGCCTTAACGGCCCATGAATTCTCAAACGACTCGTTCAAAAAGCACTCATGACGAAACCTCGGAGGACCTTAAAAACCGTTCCGTTGAATTGCTCAAATACCATGACGTCCGAAAACCAATATATGCCTATAAAAAGTCCTCCAGTAAAAATTTTAACCAAATCTCTCGTCAAGTCTAGGGAGATAAACGTACTGTTCCGTTAAAAGCTGAAAGATAGTTATAATAATGATAATCATAAGACGGTATAAAAATAATGCTTGTACCTTGACTTAACCGCTGTTTCACTAAAATATATAATTTTTTTTTGGTTTAAGCAGAAAGCGCGGGAACGGGAGAGAAAAAAACGATATACGTTCAGTATAAAACCTATCCTTAACGCCGGACGTCTTTGATGCGATTTATTTAATAGCGATATTGCTCATATAATTAATATTTTCTTCTGCTTAGAATGTGAGCAAAACATTTCCTATACCATGTCCTTTGCATCAATTTTGTGTTTTCTTCATCTGCAGAAAACTGTAATATGTAGCATCGGTATTACAAGGTGTTCCGGTTACGCGAGGAGGCGCCAGATGTATCGCGTAAATACAAATATTGAGTCGGCCAAATGGCGAAGTAAAGTTGACCAAACGAACGAGCCACTTTCGCGAACTTTATGTTAGAGTTTATTTGGTTCAGGTCATTTCGAGCACACTCTTGGCGCTACCAAACAAACGGAGTAGATAAACAATTTAAGAACTTTCTGCTCTTCATTTTATACAAAGTTTCAAACCAAGCATTCGTTTAGGCTTTTATTATTTTTCTTCATGCATGTTTAGCGTACGAACCATGAAGTTAAAAAAAAGTTGGAATCATTGGTTCATTGGAATAACAAGGGGCGGGGCCAATTTAATTAAGAAGTTATGAGACTAGCGTTTTGTACACTAAAGGCGTCAGCCGGCAGCAATAACGACTTGCCGGCAGTAAAATTTGAAAAGTTTAAAGCAGTGCATATGTGCACATGACACACACACAAATGAGCTCACGGCAATCTTTTTTTGCATGGCTTCACAACCTGTATGCTTTTTTCCGTTTTAATTTTTAGTTCCGACATCTTAGAGGTTCGGAACAAGGGGATATGCGGGTTTCTATATACTTCCGAGTATATATAAAGAAATAGTATCCGCAGAGCTTTTATTCAAAGAGTATTTAGTTTTTTTTTCTCACGAATAGTTAGGTTTGGAGCCTAAGTCGCAATTTTTCACTTGATAAATTTTACGGATGATAAGGCTCCCATAACTTCTTATTCAATTTGGTAGAATAACATATTGCGGCTTAGTCTCCAAACCTGAACAAATGCGAAAAAAAAAACGACAACAAAAAATTGAATATAATTAAATACTTTACGTACTTCTTTTTTGATGCCCTAAAATGTATTTGTTTAGTTCTATACATACAGGATGTTTAAATTTAACGCGGAACATTTTAATCAGAACGCGATATTAAAAAAAAAGATTAAAGGAAAATGACGCCGACAATAAAAACACTGCTTAACGTACAAGTTCCGCCATTTCAGTAGAGTACATATTTTGAAAGTCATTTTCTGTTTTTTTTTTGTCAGCTATCAAGAATATTTGAAAAAGGTTTGTTACTAAATATACAGCTAGGCTTCGATGCATTTTTTG